TTATTATTATTATTATTATTAATGATATTACTACTCTTATGGTTTTAATTACTTTTTGTTCGTTCTTCCTTTCGTTGTGTTTGTTCACCTTGTTATTTATTTCCACGTCTCGATATTACATTACATTAAGTCGAATCTATACGTTTCTCGTTTGGTATAAATTTCATTTCTTTTTTTTTTTTGGTTTTGGGTGTATATATACTATTGATCTCCTGTAACGCGTGTTATCTTTGGTTATTGCAATTTTTGGTGTTTTATTAATGTAATGAGGTAGCCTTTGACGCGATCTACCTTTGAAAAGCGCGAGAATTTATTCTGTGTTATTCGAGCAAAAGAAAGTTTAATTTAATTTGGTCCAAATAATAAATTTAATGAAAACATTTACTTTTCTTTTGCACTACAATTATTGAAAATATTCTTTTAACATATTTTACAGAGTCTTATTAATATTAAAATAAAAATTTTACAATGTTTTTCTTTTTTTTTTACATACCTATTACGTGCCATACCNAAATTCATTGCGTTAATAGTGATTTCAGCTACCCTAATTAATTCGTTTGATTTTATTTAATTTTACTGATAGGATTGCTTTTAGATTCATAATTATGAGTTGTAATTGGTCTTTTTGTTTTATTTTGTTTTTCGATGTCGTGAGTGATCATACTTTTTGTACACTTGGTTAACACATTATAGTGTGCACTGAACAAAATATTCATGAGTTTAGAAATATTATTAGTGACTAATTTTAACGTAAGAAAATGTATATTGTTTTGTAGCAAATATTTTAAAATACTTTAGTTAATTTTACATTTGCAGTAAATTATTAGTTTGAAGTGAACTCTCTTTACTATGTTAAAATTCTACTTACAGTACAATTATTCGTGAAATTTTTTGTTAACGGTTTGAAATCTTTGCAATGCAATAAGAAATACTATTCGACAATAAAGTTGTTTTGATTATACAGTTGTGTTGAAAACTAGCTCAGTATGTACGACAGCCTTTGGCTAACTATACATAGAAGTGACTTTGTAGTGTTACAAGTACTTAAAAACAAAGTAGTTCTAAAGCCTATGCTTGTCTCGAATATCTGAATGATAATGCATTTTCTTACAAAGATCTCAGTCATCCGAGTTTTAAGTAGTTAGATGCTTCTAGGAAATATAAACGAGAGTGAAGCTCAGCACAGTTTATTCAAATGCAACGTGTGAGAGGGAGTATCAATTGTTTTTTAATTTAATAGTTATATAAACAAATTATTTTTGTCAGTAATTTTCGAGTCAACCATAAAAAAAAAAAAAAAAATCGTGAATTTTTGTCCAGTGTTCGAGTAAAGCACCTTTTCACGTCACTTTTTCAAAATAGTCCTTTTGCAAAAAACCACTCTGGATTTGATCTCTACCACACAACTCATCCTCTGGAACCCCATTTCTCTCTCGAAATACGTTTTTTAGTGATAATCTTTAACTGTTTTTGTTGGTCGTTAGTTTATGTCGAATGAAATAATAGCAAATAAAAAAAATAATTAAAATTAAAATTAGCATTCGTGTTCGCGAATACCACGTTTTCGTTCTCTGTCATTTCATCCTGTACACCTCGCTTTGCATGCGTAGTTAAGACTTACTGTTAGTTATGTAGCTATAGTTGGTAGTAGCTCTATTCGCAGCTTATTCGGGAAAGCATGGGAGATACTCTGTGGGACTAACGCCTGGAAAATGTAGTCGCTGGGTAATTTTACATTCAAATAGGTCAGTTCGGGGGTGGGCAATGGCTTTGTTCTTTTTTTCACGATAAATAAGAGGTGTTTCGATAAATTTTTATGTCTTTTAGTCCTTAAAAACAATATTTTCATTATTTGTTTTCTGTGACTTATGGATACTGTAGTTTTAAAATTGAAACTTAATAGAAATTATAAATAAGGTTTCGTATGAACAGTAGAGATTTTTAACAAACATGATGATAACAAATACAAGACTTAACATAATAATTCTGATGATGAATTAAATAAAGATGTGTAGATTCAGTGTTGCATGAATTAAAACGTATAACATAAATTTCTATTAATCGTATTCTAACAATAATAAATGACTTCGTGTAAATAATGTAAGAAAATTAAAATGTCATTTGACTTGGGGATGGTATATTTGTAAGTTGTCAAACAAAACTTGATAATTATGAAAAAAAAAAAAAAAAGAAAAAACTTACGTTTCAGCATTTCAGCAATATATTTTAATAAATTTATCAAACGACAGAAAAGGGAAAATATTATTTTTGCTTCCATCAGGGGAGCAAATAAATTGTACAGAGAGCCCCGAGTTTTATGCAATTTAAAAAGCAAAGTTTCCTCGCCGACCCAGATATAACGAAACATTCCTTTGGCATTCGCGAACCCTCCACGCCCCGATAACTTTCGCATTAAACTATCAAGCGAACGTAAAAGTCGTTCCACTTCGAGGGTCGGTTAATTTATCATCCGAAAATAATGCAACGTTGACATGATAATTTTCACACTCGACGGACCCGCTAATCCAATTGCGTGAGCCGTGCAGTAGCGGCAAATTAAATAATTATGTCGTTTCGTTTTCCGCGACAAAGTAGACGGTGGCTCGGGTTAACATCATACGCCCATCTACACGTTTAAACGCAAATATGCGTACATACACCCACACCCTCGACTGCAGAGCGCATAAATAAACCAATCCCATGGCAGGGAGTTTCGCGCGGAAGGGAGAAAACAACACGTAGCTCGAAGGTGATGCTTGTGCTTTTGTCTTGGCACGCGAAATTCGTTTTCTGAGAATGGGTGTGCACGTGTATATATATATGCACACAGTCATCAGAGAAACGGGAGATGGGGGGGGGGGTTTAAGCGAATAGGAGCGCCCAGCCACGAAAATCACGGTAAATTTGCATTTGTTTGCCCGAGAATCCTCCACGGTTGCACCGACGAGTGGCTCGGGTTTTCGGGCGTCTTGTGCAGCACAGCCTGCACCCATACGTATGTATACATATATATACCGATACACGCGTGCGGGAGAGGGTGTGTCGCTCTCGCTGCAGCTGCAACTGCAGCTCTGGCTTTTGTGTACGTGGGCGCGGGCCACGAGGGATCTGCTTCTTCTTTGGGCGCGGCTGGTATGGCTGGGTTAGCGAGCGGGGCATGTGTGTATTGACACCTCGGGGGATAAAGAAAGAGCTAGTTAAAAATTGCTGAGATGAGTACCTCAAATTTGTGAGGCCAAAAAAAGGGGTGGAAAATGCACGACTTTAATTATAAAATTGAATTATTGTCGGATACTTTTTTTTTTTTTTTTTTTTTTTTTTTTTTTTTTTTTTTTTTTTTTTTTTTTTTNTTAATTAATTAAAAAAAAATGTATTCAAATTAAACACAATTAAAACATATTTACGGTTATATTTAAAATTAATATTTGAATAAAATAAATTATAACAAAAAAATATTCTCTTAGAAACAAACTTCTGTATTTTATTTCATCATTACAGAATGTGTATTGTTACAACATTTTTTTTCATATTGATTAAACATAATAAAAACATATTTACTGTTAAATTAGAAATAAATATGCAAAAAAATAAAAATATAAAATAAATTAAAAAAACTTAAAAACAAATTTATTTTATTCAATCACTACAAACGAATTATTGTTAAATGTACATTTGATTTGATCAATTCATTTACAATAAATTTTTTAAGTTACTTCAGCAAGTAGTTTATTTTATTAAATAGACAGAGACTGAATTTCAATAAAATTAGTCGGAAATTCAACAGTTTTAATTATTATTATTCAATACTGAGAGCATTTGTCCTTGAGAACTTTTATTATGAGATAAAATTTCATTAATAAAAACATGTGCTGTTAATTTTATTTGAAAAATTTACACATTTTTCCAACACTCTAATAAATTGTTTAATTTTTTATTGTTTTCATTGAAATGTATTTTATTTTATTGTTTTATTGCTCATTTTGAGAAAATCATTAAACCTCCTTAAAAAGAACAGCAGTGATGACGCTACAAAATAAAAAAAAACCTTATTTCTAGGAAAAGATACCTACTTTTTAAAAAGTTAGTGACAGCCTTTTCTTCCCAACCAATTTGATGTAGCACTTTCTGTCCTTGAAGTGTTGGAACGTTGAAGAACTATCCAAGGTGTATGAAAAATTGAACTTGGGGCGGGTCGAGGTGTGACTGCATTTTCAAATTAAGGCGCCATGGGGCTTTGTGCGGCAGCTTTTGAGATTTACGAGGTTTTGGAAAAGGGAATCGAGTACGATATGAACTCGCAAATTCATAGCCAGTTTTTTTTTTTTTTTTTTTTTTGCTAAGTAACCCTGATGCTTAGGGACAATATTTTCTGCATCTGATGTTGGTTCAATAAATTAAGTACGGGTTTTGGGTGGGGGATAAAAATATTGAAATATTGAGATCTCTCGAAATACGTTTTTTAGTGATAATCTTTAACTGTTTTTGTTGGTCGTTAGTTTATGTCGAATGAAATAATAGCAAATAAAAAAAATAATTAAAATTAAAATTAGCATTCGTGTTCGCGAATACCACGTTTTCGTTCTCTGTCATTTCATCCTGTACACCTCGCTTTGCATGCGTAGTTAAGACTTACTGTTAGTTATGTAGCTATAGTTGGTAGTAGCTCTATTCGCAGCTTATTCGGGAAAGCATGGGAGATACTCTGTGGGACTAACGCCTGGAAAATGTAGTCGCTGGGTAATTTTACATTCAAATAGGTCAGTTCGGGGGTGGGCAATGGCTTTGTTCTTTTTTTCACGATAAATAAGAGGTGTTTCGATAAATTTTTATGTCTTTTAGTCCTTAAAAACAATATTTTCATTATTTGTTTTCTGTGACNAAAAAAAAGTACGCAAAAAATTAAACACAAAGGGGAAGAGAAAAAAAAAAGTTGCATGACGCGCAAGATACCCTTCCGTGACTTGCTTTAGGGCATCGGTGAGTGCGCTTTGCTCTTACGCGCGTCATAGCGCTTCCCCCCCCTCTCTTTCCCAATTTCTCGGGTTACGCGTATACGTTGTACACCCACGCTCGCTCGCGCGTACGTAAAACATATAAACACATACGTAGGTACGTAAGTATACGCGTGTCTGGCTGCCGGGCACTTGACGATTCACGATGACGCCAACGAGCAGCGGAGAGACAAATAACACCACCAACCCCCTCGTGTATTGCACCCTGTCGGAGCTGATGGTGTTTGAGATGTGCTCCGACGGCGGGTGGTGGTAGCGTATATATATGTATATATAGCACACGTAGGTGTACGTAGATGTATATGCATGTGTAACTTTTCGGGACACTGGTGGAGATGATTCGTGTGTTTGGTGGCTTATTGCTGGTGCTATCGTTTTTGGCGCTGCTTTCAGGCTGTGGGCCGAGGTGTTTCACGTAACGAGCGGCGCGGGCAGCGTGAAATGGCAACAGATCTCCGAGGATTTGGTCCCGGTGAACATTACCTGCATACAGGACACGCCCGAGACGATTTTCCATATCACGGCTTACAATTGCCAAGTCGACAAGATTCTCGACGTCCGACTCGTACAGCCTGGTAATTGCATCAATTTTTACTGTTACAACGCATTTTTTTTTTTTCTTTTTTTTTCCCCTCATTTTATTTTGGTTTTATTTCAAAGTTAAGTTTTACTTTTGATCATTTGCTTTTTCACATTATGCCGTCAATCGAGTTAGAAAGATTTTTCTTTTCTCTCGCATCTATTGTATTTTATACGAGTACAGAAAAAAGTTCTCAAAGGGTTGAATTTTAAATGGATTTACTACAAAATTTTTGGTACAAAAATTCTTTGTTTCATTCGTGTATACATGGAACATTTAATGACATCACAACTTTTTTACATAAAAAAGTGTTTTTAATCACATTAAGCAAACATTATTTTAAAATGTTTGATTAGTGGTAAAAAATTTAAAAATGCACGATAGTACATAATTATTTTTACATTTAAATTGAAATGGTTAAAATGTAGTAAAAAATGCTTTCAATCTTGTCGTTCACTTCCGTTTGTTCGTTGATCAACGTAAACACCGTACGATGATTCCAGGCACTCGAATTGGCCAGGCATCCGAGTGTTTTGTCTACTGGAAGGACACAATGACAAACGACACTTGGGGACTGAATTTCACTTGCGCGATCGATGCCAAGCAATTCAAAGAATGTGTGGTAAGTAATACGATATCCCCACGTACTTTTAGATACATTGTATGGTGCCAACCATCGAAATTCCATGAATTGTGCACACAGCTTGTCCCTACCCCTGTTTGTAAATAAAATTGAAATTACTTTGTTCAAGTTGACTCGTAACTTAACTCAACGAGTTTAAGAAAAAAAAATTAAAATAAACTGAAACACAACCCGAACTTTTTCAAGCAGTCGCCGGCGTTCAAGGGCATCGGCCGCAAGGGCTCGTCGTCGTACTCGCTGCGCAACCTGGACCCGCTGAGCAAGCAAGCCGGGGCCAAACAGCCCCGCCAGCGCCGAAAGCCGCTCTCGACCCCAGCCTCACCGAGTCGGGCTCCAGGTGGTGGCGAGCCGCGTTGCACCTGCATGACACCCGAGCAGTACAACCGGGCGCTCAGTCGGGACCTTAGATACAACAGGCCCACCCTCGCCACGACTTGCGGTACGTTACCATCACCACTTGTACACCGTAACACCTGCGACTCGCTGCTCTCCCGGCTTATCGATTCACCACCCCCTTCCACCCCATCCCTATCTTGCATAGCGCAACTGCTCCCATTCGCTCTCGGGGCGCCTTTTGGCCGAACCTAAATGGAATAATAAATCGGTCCCGAGGCTGCTGTGCACCATCAGCTCTGTAGGGAGCAAGAGCCGAGAGCTTCGGGCGATGCGTGGCCTATTCCCGTCCTCCTCGTATCTTCTTTCCGCGTCCAAGAGCCCACACACGTGCATGTGTGTATGTGGGTGTGCCGGATTTTTATCTATTCTTTCGTCGAGCTGCACGCGAATGAGAGAGAAAGAGAGAGGATTTTCCAAGCTGTTTCTCCTATACTGCTCCTTTTCGGCTTTTTCTTTTTGGAGGAGTCAGCAGCAAAGATAGAGCTCCGGCTTATCTCGAAGATTGAATTTTTCTTTGAGCGCGGATTACGCGAGGAAGAAGTAATTACGTGAGACAAGTCGTGTACGCCGCTCCTTTTGCTCTATCTACCCTGTGTTACTTCAATTCGATCGTTACTCGGAGAGGAATGACATTTTACGATCGGTCGAGGAAAATCCCTCTCGAGCTAAAACTTGTGTGTATTTTTCCGATTTTTTGCGTTTTTACGACATCAGGTAGTTGCGGTACGCGAATTCTCCCATATATATTTGCTTATATTCTTCACGACGCCCTTCGGGAGGTATGGCATTGCTTTTTCATCGCGTCGTTTAATTTTTATCAACCTACAAGGTTTGATGCGTGCACGCGGGGCTTCGTGAGTTTGTTGGCGGAAAAAATGCATCGGTTTTAAGGCCACAGCCGTACCTTTGATATAAAAGCGCTGATACTCTTGGAGAAAGTGCTCTGTATTTTTATTCTCTCTACGAGAGAAAAGTTGATTTCGTAAGAAAAAGTAGCTCCTAAAAACACTCTGTATGGATATGCAGTTTAATCGAAAACAAAGGAGGAAATGGACATGTCGTATATTTAATTTAAAAAAAAAAAGGGAAAAAACCTTAGAAAACACTTTTGTGTACCGAATGAACACGAAATGTACTCGAGAACGCGTCAAAGATGCATGGTAATTCGAAATCGTCCATTCTAGGCTCCCTTAATTGCCCCAAATATGTATAGCCACGTAATTGCAGTAGAGCCACGGCACTCGGTCCAACTCCCAACAACATAAATCCCCGCGATACCTCCTCACGAGAAACGACTCTCCCTTCCTCCAATTGTACGGCCTTTTGATTAACTCAAAACAGTACCTACAATAAGTCCAGACGAAAACGTCCCCAACCAGCCTGCAACTCCCTTGGAAAAAAGAAATCTAATCCCCGGAATGTCCACAGCAGTGGCCCAGACTCTCCCGAGGATCTCGACGCGGCCCGTGGACGCCGAGCTGCAGGCCCGGGACAAGATAACGACGGCGACGTCGAGCGCCTCACTGTACGACAACGTAAACAGCGCGAACGTGACGACGAGCTCGGGAGCAGCCCAGCAGCAGATCCAGTCTATCGGTCCCGGCGCCAAAATGTCCAAGGCGGACTCGATCCGGCTGAAAAGTATGCAGGACAAGCAGCAGCAGAACGAGACCTGCCAGACGGGCACGCCGAAAACAGCGAGCGTTGCCATTGGCACGAGCACTGTTGGCTCACAGGTGCGCCAACCCTTCGCCGGTCGTCGAACTCGGGCTCATTTGCGTTTTAGCCTGTACACCGTGCATATATATATATATATGTGGATACATCCACCAACGGCATCTTTTGTTTCCGCTTCTCTATTGTGTTTTTTCTTTTCTTTCTTTTTTTTTTTTTTTTTTTTTTTTTTTTTTTTTTTTTTTTTTTTTTTTTTTTTTTTTTTTTTTTTTTTTTTTTTTTTTTTTTTTTTTCTACAAAGGACGATTTTCGGTAATTAAGATCCGAGAGATAAGCTCGAGGACTCGCCGTCGTCGTCGTACACACTCAAGTGCCTTCTTGTTCTGCTTCGAGCTTCTTCGTCCGGGGCTGTTGCTGCTGCAACGCTTTCGCTATTTTTGAGCTTTATCGGAGGAGCATCGCGGCTTATTGTTTAAATTTGAGTGTCCACCGTTTCGCGTGCTCTTGCATGGTTATTAAGTTGTTTTTTTTTTTTTTTTTCAAGTGGACTCGATAACATCGATTACGCGTTATATATCTTTGTTTACACAAAATTACTCGATAAATTTTATTGGTAATGAAAGAAAAATCTCAAACGTGAAATTTTTTCGCACGCAGTAGTAACGATCGAGTTTGGTCAGACATCCGGATTTCACTACGTGGCGCGTCTGACCATACCCACTTGTTACTACTGCGAGTTGAGTTTTTGTCCCTATTGCATCATTCATCCTGTACACGTAGATTAATCGTCATAAATATACGCAATATGTAATAAAAAATGCCTTCGCAGTGTAACAAAAATTCTGACAACGAAATATTTCTGCTTTCACGTGTTTCTCTCAACTAATAGTCGCTTAGAAACGTCAGGCGACAGAATAGCGTAAGTGCTTATCAGTAAAAAACAAAAAAACAAAAACCAAAAAATCAGCTTACAGCTCACCCGGTAGAACTAACGATGAATTACTAATCCCCAGATCGACGTGCCGGAGGACAAGGCCACGGGTCCCTCGCCCAAGAAGCCACTCAAGCAGAGCCAGGACAGCGCGATCCAGAACGGCCCTGAACGCGAGACCCTCAAGTCCGAGGGTACCCAGGCAGGTGGGACCCTGAGCAGGTACCACCACCGCAAGGATCACTTGCAGCACACCAAGTCAGCCGACTATACGGAGCTCGAGCTCCAAAACGGCAACGTGTTCGGGCCGATGAGCCAAGGCCGGCGCAACAAGAGCAAGAGCACCGACGACATGCGCATCGAGAGCCACCCGAGCGTCGTGGCCACCTCGACCCTGCACCATCCGCCGCAGATGCTCAACGGGCCGTTCATGCCAGGGATGGGCCACGCGACGGGTCTACCCCCACCCGGGCCTCACCACGGGCCTCCCTACGACACGCACACGATGAGGCGCGTCTTCCGGCCGATGTCGAGCATCGAGAGCCCCATCACCTCGCCCGAGATGTCGCGCAAGCGCCACCACCATTACCACGAGCACCCGAACAACAACAACCAGCGCTACGTCATGTCCGAGGCTGAGGACAACTACGTGCACGCCTACCGGCATCCCAACAACAACTATCACCCGAGGTTCCAGCCGTCGAGGAACGTGCACGAGATGGACCGACAGTACTCCGGTATACACTGCCTGCGAACAATTACCTTACGATTATTCTCGATTTTCATTTTCCGAGCCCCCCC